TTGTTGGATTTTCATAGGCTTGTTTAATAGTATAATCAAATATCAATTTACTTAATTACATAAAGCATGTATTTTTAGTAATACCTGTGAAGGATTTCCATCAATTGGAAGTAACCTGGATGTTGCCATGCCAACTACAGCACTATAGGTAAATTACCCGAGTTAAAGGGACATGKTATACCAGAATTCAAAGCRGTCTTGCTTCAGATTTTTCACCATTTGAGGCATAGGCCGCTCAACTATTGCTTAAGAGAGAAAGAAAAGAACGAATGCGCACGCTYTTAATTTACGCCAACCTYGTACCCAGAGCCCGCACTTTTGCCATCCAGCGGAAGTCAATGCGTGAGAGACTCTGGAGKAATCGWCTGGMTTTGCGACGCTTTTCCGTCGCAAATTATGCAAATGAGGTCAAATTTGTATTCTGCGTTTAGAGCATTAAAATTACAAAAATGAAGAAGGTTTAGCAAACAACTTAGTTTAGAAAAATACGGGTTAACTKTGGTTTGACGGGCAAGGGATCACTGACGTCATACCACAGGWAACCCGCATTTAGCTAAGAGCTAGCGCGCGCCGTTAATACCAGTACTGGCGTAAAGCGTGCGCATACGTTCTTTTCCTTCGCTCAAGCAATAGTTGGGCAGCCTATGTTTGAGGTGGCCCTTTCTGAAATACATAATCATGATGCATTGTGGTCTAGCTTCCACCATATTTGGCAACATGAACAAAAGATATCATTTATACCGAATCTAGACAACAATGCAATGCAAACTGCTATCTTAGAAATGGCCTATGGTGAATCCCGTAGTATACGCCAAGTTGAAAGAAATCACAATCATTGTCATAATCATAATCATTGAAATCAAACATTATTGTGATATAGAATAAAACCAATGCACTATATATCCTGGTTGCTGGGACATGAAGGTCCTGGAAGTGTCTTGTCATTRCTAATCAAAAAGTAAGTGAAATYAGGAATTAAACTGAGTGATCCATTTATTTTTTAGAAGGTGGAGATATGATTACTTACGACTCAAGAAACTGGGCCCTTTTCYCTCATTCACTCTATAACAGATGTACTTATGTTTTCTAGGTCATGGGCCGTTAGTCTTATGTGCGGTAATGGAGAAACAGGCATTGAACACAGTACAAATTATGCAATGTTTCCTGTCATAGTCATTCTCACAGTAAGTTAATGGAGAAACAGGCATTGAACACAGTACAAAATTATGCAATGTTTCCTGTCATAGTCATTCTCACAGTAAGTTAATACTGTTAAATAACCCATCATCAAAGTTTCTGAACACCAACAGTCGTTTCGTCTCCTTTCGCAGCCGTTATGAAGCTCTTTCCTGGGAACGAGATTCATAACGGCTGCGAGTGAGAAGTCTAACAGTCGTTTCCTTTTATTTATTTTTTGATAGGATGAAGGTGTCGACCATATATACGAGGTAATGATACTGTCAATAGTACTTGTAATTTCCATAGGCTTCGTAGTCA